ACATCTCTGGTTTGCACCTCACCTCTTGTATGCGTAAATAAATAAAATAAATCTTAAAAAAAAACCCAAAATATTAAACTGATGTGATGCTCAATGATCTTTGACTCTCAAAGTTAATTTTCCTGAAGTGCTATTAGTTGTTTCAAATTACAGGAATTGTTGATAGAGAAAAAAAAAGATTGGTATAATTTAATAGTCCTTTCAGTTTTTGAGTGAGTTAAGCCTTGTAGAGATCCACTAGAAACCATGTGTACAGACATCAGGGATGTGCTGAGGGCAGTTTCAAGCGGGCATGAAACTGCTCTGGCATATGAAACAGATAAAAAGGAGGAAAATAAGTCTTAACTGAGAATCTGTCCATTTAGCATCATCTGGGGCAACAGATGGAGACACCCAAGAAAATTAGGCCAGGAGTCCTGCTCTTTGTTCAAACAAGCAGGGTCGGATTGGGAAATATGCCACCAGTGTTTCCATCAGTATGTGAGGACACAGCCTTGTAACAGGGTGGTCCCCAGGAAAGGGGGAGGTTCCCTGCCCCACCCAAGGGAGGGTGGAGCTGAGCAGGAAGAGGAGAAGCAGAAGAAGAGACTGAGGAAGGAAGCAGGATGGAGCCAGGAGACCTGGAGGAGGCACATGGAGCCTAGAGACACGTGAAGAAGCTGCGCTTGTCTTTTGGTCGTGGACGGGGTGACACAGATGTGGGTGAGACCCGTGGGGAGGTGACAATGGCAGCTTTTATCTTAATGTTGATTTTGCTCTTTTCCTTCCGGGCTTGTCTGGTTGTTTCTGACTCTTTTCTGTGGGTCCCCACTGGAAGATGCTTTAGACTTGTGGCAGGCTTTGGGGCCTTGCTCTGGGCCGATCCCATATGGATGGAGTTTTACCCACGAGGGGACGGGTAACTTTGGGTGCTTGATTTAGAAACTAGACTCTTTGCCTTACCTGTATTGTTTCCTAGTTTTATTAAAGTTGCTTCCCATTAAAGTCTCATATTGTAACAGGGTGGTCCCCAGGAAAGGGGGAGGTTCGAGGTTCCCTGCCCCACCCAAGGGAGGGTGGAGCTGAGCAGGAAGAGAAGAAGCTGCAGGAAGAGACGGAGGAAGGAAGCAGGATGGAGCCAGGAGACCTGGAGGAGGCACATGGAGCCTAGAGACACGTAAAGAAACTGCGCTTGTCTTTTGGTCGTGGACTAGGTGACACAGATGTGGGTGAGACCCGTGGGGAGGTGACAATGGCAGCTTTTATCTTGATGTTGATTTTGCTCTTTTCCTTCCGGGCTTGTCTGGTTGTTTGTGACCCTTTTCTGTGGGTCCCCACTGGAAGATGTTTTAGACTTGTGGCAGGCTTTGGGGCCTTGCTCTGGGCCGACCCCATATGGATGGAGTTTTACCCACGAGGGGATGGGTAACTTCGGGTGCTTCATTTAGAAACTAAACTCTTTGCCTTACCTGTATTGTTTTCTAGTTTTTATTAAAGTTCCTTCCCATTAAAGTGTCATATGTTTTGTGTTGATGCGGCGGATGGCAAAACCCATTTAGAATAGGCAGGTTTGTGGGGGTCTGGGGTGCCCCTCTCCCTGTCCTATAACAATATGTTTTGTGTTGATGCGGCGGATGGCAGAACCCATTTAGAATAGGCAGGTTTGCGGGGTTTGGGCTGCCCCTCTCCCTGTCCTATAACAGCGTCACTAAGTCTGACTAAGTCAGTTTACATGAAATGGTCACCCAAGATACCTACTTTTGGAAAAAAAAAAAAATCAACCTTAATTCAGCCTTTTTTTTTTTTTTAAATGTCCTTCACCACTCTCCTGTTGAAATTATTGGAGTGTTTTCATTTTTTAAAACTTTTTTCTAAAAATATGGAATGTTTCATAATCTTCTGTGTCATTCTTGTGCAGGGGCCATGCTAATCTTTTTTTTTTTTCTAATTTTTTATATGTGCTGCCAAAGGCTCATATTTTATAATTTACAATTATATAGACTTCCCTGTATTTTTTTTTTTTTTAATTTTCTTATGGTCTAGTTGACAATTTTTTCAATCTTACATTTACCTTTAGGAATATTTTCAGGTAAGTTCATGTGTGGTAAGCTGAATCTTTGCAGGTCTACATTTTTGTTTTGTCCTCAAACTTGAATGACAGTTGGTCATAGAAATCTTGCTTCACAATTCCTTTTCTTACAGAATTTTGAAGCTCTGAAGTGCAGAAACTGGTCTGGCCCTTGAATGTCTTCCCCTTTTACCCAAATAGGTGAAACTAGGTCCACAGCTACTATCTGCTGTGAACGTCTGTGCTTCACCAGCTTTTCCATCAGTATATAAAGATTCATTTAGTGTCTGCTCAAGATTCATTTAGTGTCTTGCTTAAGAAAACCCTCTCTAAACTTGCCACTTGCCACAACATGGATGGGTTGAAGGGATTACACTAAGCAAAATAAGTCAGAAGGAGAAAGACAAGTACCAGGAGATATCACCCATATGTGTAACATAGAGGAACAAAACAAAGGTCTGAAAAAACTAACATAAAAACCCACCCTTGGATTCGGACTACACAACTGAGGTTACCCAGAAGGGTAGGAGCAAAGGCAGAGAGGGTCCAAAATGGATTCGGTGGAGGGTTATACTTTGGTGGTGGATGTGCAGCGTTTACATTTGAAGAGGTGTAAGCCTGTGCTCCTCAACATAAAGTTATGTAAATTAGTTACTTCAATTAAACTAAGTTTTAAAGAACCTCAAATATAAAATCCTCTCCCTGTTCTAAGGATAAACATTTTACACTTCCTGCTAATATACTTACTTAAATTTATTCCAACCACACGCAGCGGTAGAGCGCTGGGTTGCGAAGCTGCCCGCAGCCTCTGCGGCGCCGGTTCGATTCCCGGCTGCTCCCCGGCCACCGGAGGAGGGTCCCACATGGTGCGCAGACCTCTCCTGCCACCCGCTGCTCCCCTCAGCAGTGTACTTCGGTCCTTCTGCCTGCTCTGCTCCCCGCTCTGGTTCTGGTGAATTCTCTCACCCTCCCGCGCTTCTGACTGTACCCAGTGCATGTATAAACAAAAAACAAATGAACAAACAAATAAATAAATAAATAAAACATGCCTCTATAAAAAAAAAAAAAAAATATTAAAAAAAATTAAAAAAAAAAAAAAATTTTATTCCAACCACAATTTATTTTTGCAAGTGGTGTAGATTGAAATTTCTTGTTCCCTAAGTGGATTGCTGACTCACAGCCATTCTTTTCTCTATAATTTTGAAATGTAACATTTAACATTTACAAATATGGCTTTAATGTAGTATTCATTTATGTCAACCAAAAGTTCCTTGTGAGCTTGTGAATTAGAAATAAAAGATGCAGGGCCATACATGAATTATGGTGCCATCTACAACTAAAAAAGCAAAACTAAACTCACAAAACACATGTCGTCTGTGAATGTGTATATTTATGTGATTATATCTGTGTTAAATTTACAGAGATCATTGAAGATTACCATAATAGTATTAGTTACTAAGAGGGATAGTGAGCTTGTGAGAGGGCTTATATTTGTTATTTTTTTATAAATATTTTATTTTTATAGAAGAACTGGGGTGTAGGCCAGAGGTGGAGGGGGGCGGTGAGTAGGTTCACCAGAGACAAAGTGGGGAGTAGAGCAGGCAGATTTACTGAACACTGCTAAGGGGAGCAGCTGGCAAGACAGGAGATACCTGCCATGCTAGCTCCCTGACCAGGGATTGAGCTCAGGCCTCCGCGGTGACTGTGGTGATAGCACTGAGACGCAACCCATAGGTGACCAGGGAGGCCCCTTCTATTTGTATTTAAAAAAATACATTAGGATATACAACTGAGGTATCTCTAAAAGCCCCCAGGCACTGGAGTCTCTCTGCTTTTCTTTGGATATTGACTAGCGACTTTTGCTCTCCAATACTCATAATCCGGTGCCTCATATATATATATTTCAGGTCTGCTACATAGAAAAGAGTAATTCTTAGTTGTGACTTCAGGTATCTCTGGAAAGGATAGTCAAGCTTCAACCAGGGGATCGTGCAGGTAACTTGGTACAAATAACCGGAGGGAACCCCATTTTACCATTCAGAAAGATGAGGTTCAACATAGCCTTTAAAGGAAGGTAAGGGCCTCCCTGGTGGCAGCAGGCAGTTGAGCGCCGCACTGTGAAGCTGTCCGCAGCCTCTGCAGCACCGGGCTCCATACGGGCCAGCGTGAGAGAATCCCACATGGCGAATTAGACCTCTCCTGTCTCGCCCACTGCTTCCCTCAGCAGTGTATTTTGTCAGTCTGCCTGTTCTGTTCCCCACTGTCTCTGGTAAATCCGCTCACCCTCCCATGCATCTGGCCTGTACCCCGGTTCTTGTATAACTAAATCAATCTTAAAAAATAAAAATTAAAAAAAAAGGAAGGTTAAGAACTGAGATCTTGAATGTAGGTTTGTTAGACTTCAAAGTTCACACACCTTATCACACCTTTGGAGATCACTTAGCTTGGAAAAAACTTAGGTAAGATACAATAGCTGTTCCTAGGCATCTGAAAAGATGATAGCTGTGAAGCATCTGAAAAGTTAGACCTATGGTTGTAAATGTAAGCACTAGAACTATTTAGATTTTCCTTAAGTTGAAAAGAGAGGAAAAATATGCTATGAAAACTTGTCCAAACATAGAACAGTTTCTCTCTTGGTTATTTCAAGCCATTATGTTATACGGCCAAGTGAACCAGATAATGTGAATTGTATAAAGCTGACAGTATAGGCAAGCTTGAAGTTCATTTCAAAATGGCACATTTGGGGCCATTCATATAAATATGAAGGGAAAAAAGCATTAAGGGAAATTTTTAGGTAATTTCTCAAAAGGAAATATACCATTAAGCATACATTTAAGTGTTGAAACCTCAAGTCAAATCACACCATATTTCAAAGGCAAGTTTCAAACTTATTAACTTTGATTAAACTGCATTTCCTATTTGTTGAAATGAATGTCACTGGAATATTGTTATGTAGATATTTTAATTTATTGTATACATATTAGGCACACAACTGGAGAAAAAAATCCTTACAATATGAGAAGACAATAAATAGATGATAGGTACTGTTATACAAAAGGAATAAATGAGTATGACTGTAATTTTTCAACCACATTCATATTACAGTTTTAAAACATATCTTTTACACTGGTCAATTATTTATTTGAAGCTAGAGTTGAAGGAGAATGTATGACAGTTAAGTATTAGTTCAGGAACTTAGTCGACAATTTGGTTGTTAGTATTTATGTATGGGGAGAAGAAAACTGTTTACTGTATGTAACTATGTTTCAGGGTAAATGATTCTAATAGAAATTTTTTATTATGAAGAAGAAAGCAAGTTTAAATATTAGTTATTTTAGAAATACTACCTAAATTTCAATCATATTAAATACATCCTTCTCTAATTCCATTTTAATAATCTATAAACTGTCAGAATGTTAAACCATGAAGTAACAGAAGTTAAAATTTTAACTAAAATTTTAGATAGTCAAGTTATAAAGGAAACTAAAGAAAGAAATTCAGATTTAACATTTCAAATACCCACTAAGTTTGGCACCTTTCCCTTCTTACCACTAAGTATATTCTGTTTGAAATGGAGTATTTAGTTAACAGTACTTGGTAACCTTCGCTACAAATCAAGAGAGAAGCCAAGAGACCACAGATGCAGACTCATTAGTGTTGATGGAAAATGACAGCGAAGAACCCCAGGCAGGCTTGAGGGGTACAACAGTCAGTAGTCTGGGTAACAAGAGTCTGGTGAAAAAGCAAGCTGAATCTTCTGTCTTAATAATTAAAGAAAGTCACTCTACACATTATAATGGCTGACTCTCAAAGTGATCAACAATTAAGGAATGGCCAAAAACAAACAAAATCTGCATTCTGTTTAAAGGCAGGGATATGTATCATAAATTTTAAAAACATTTCCATGCAAAAATATTTTATCTAGAACATCTCATTCCTGAGAATGCATGCTGTACTTATATTTGATGACTTACAATTTTGGTGTAACTTGGGACTATTAAAAGTGAAAAGGGGGCTATGGTATGGTGAGGACAGAACTGGTCATTTAGAGGTGAACTTAAAGTGGTATAAACACATGTTGACTCCCAATGATGGACACCTAAAACTTACTTAGACTGCAGTGTTACTTCTTTTACCAAAATAAGTAAAAGAACAAACTAATACTGCAATGAAACATACCTGTATTCAAGGAATACAGTAACTAGCTGACAAAATTTACCTATCTTAGGCAAAAACTCATTCTGTTGAGATAGACAAGGTAGGTTAGCATCGAGACACATGAGACAACTGCTATAAGACGAATGTTAAAAAAGTGCTTCCTGCTATGAATATTAGGAACATGGCTATGTCCCGACCTAAGAGATATATAAAACCACAAAAATCAACCAGACAAAACACCCCAGGCAAAATAAAAACCCCATTCCTATCATAGTTTTATTTCTCTTCTATTGTTTCGGTCTCCAAGTACATCCGGCACAGTGCTGCATTAGGGCGGCAAACAAAAGCATCCTTTTCATTTCCCAATTCTGTTAACTGTTCCAGTGAAGACACACAAGGATAATGGTCTTTCAACATATCGGGCAATTTAGAAGTCTTCTCCTGAAGACGCTGAGAACGTCTAACTGGTGTTAGAAACTTCAGCTCTTTAAACGTAGAATTTGTTTCATCAAACTGCATCTTCTTTTTTAAGCTAAAAGCAGAAAAACAAATTTATTTTCAGAGTTACATAACAGGCTAACATTTTGACTTTGTATTTTTATGCTATTTATCACACTGTATAACTTGTATTTTACAACCACTGTAATATGATTGTCTTAGAGAGAGAGCACTATAAGCTCCTTAAAGTAAGGAATTTATTCTTTTCTCTGTTTGTTGTTAAATTTTGTACACAACGAATACTTGAAAATCTATAGAACTGGGTAGCTGCTCTCTTCCAAAACATTGTTATCAACTAAACACAACAAGAGACTAAACAAAAATGATATAATTTTTTTTCTTTTTCAAAATGATTACAGTTAGGGAAAAGCAAATACAGTATTTAAAAGGTGAAATGTGCCAATGACATATTTGAAATCTTTCTATTAACATGGTAGTTTTCATCTGAATCTCTCTCTCAGTTTTTTAGAACCCTAAGAGTTACTCACATTTATGAACTTTAAGCATAAAAAGAAAAGTGCAGCACACTGCTTTTTAAAAGTTTACCTTTGCAAGTATGGTGTAGTAGACACATTATATTTAATTAAGCAACTCATCCTGGTTTCTGTATTAGGAGTTTTAGTATCACTGATCGGATCTTTTGTTTTGTCATCATGTGATTTTTCACAATCTTGAAATACCAAATTTTTATGATGTTTATTTTCAATTTCCGGTTTTCCTGAATCTAGACTAATACTTGTATCTTCAATGCTGACTTCTTGGATTTGTTCCTTGATTGCACAAGTTTCCTCAATCTTTTCCCCTATAGAAACATATTTATAGATTAAGCTTTTGGTCACATTTAAAGAATAAAATAAAAAAAACATTAAAGTCATTCATTATTGGCCAAATTTTCAAAATAAAAGAACAAAACTGCATCTCCTACCCAGTAAATTTCCCAAACAAAAACTGCTACCAATTATTTAACAAATATTTACTCTCTCCTACACATCAGGGATTATAGTTACAAATACAAAAGTCCTTTAAGGGCATACTCCATGCAAGAGACATACTTGAAAGTAATTATAAAATGAGAAAGGTTCTGTAATTGAGGTAAGAACAAAGGTTATAAGACACTGTCCTTGTCATGGAGTTTATAGTTTAAAAGACAAGAGAAACAATGCCAGAAGCAATCTAGTACACCAGGTAGTGCAAAGGAAAATAGGAAGCACAAATAGGCGAATGCAATCCAGTTGGTAGGAGAGGGAAGGAGGGGATCAAGGAAGGCTGTCCCAAGGAAATGACATTTGAGGTCTAAAGGATTAGTGGGAATTGGGTTAGAAGATGAAGACTGGCCTGGAGAGACCAAGAGGCAAGATAGATTATATAGACCATTCTAAGAAATTAAAAAAGGAAAAGAAACAACAGAAAAGAAATTGAGGGATGTGGAGGAGAGGGAGAGTGACAAGAGGCTGGCGTTAGGAACTTAAGCAGATGAGTGACAGGACACTTTAGGACAAGAGTAGAGAAGCATGGAAACAAAATTGGGAGCTACTGTTCAGGTTAGTAGCAATAGGTGACCCAGACTATAGTTATGACAGTAATGATGGAAAGAAGTGGACAGTTTTAAGAAATGCTTAGGAAGTTAAACTAAATTTGAATAGCTGGGGAATACAGGTGGGGTGAGGAAGTAAAAGATAATCCCAAGATTTCTGGCTTAGAGAACTAGATAGTGTTATTCACTGATAGGCAACCAAAAGAAAAAAGGTTTAGGGAAAAACGATATATTCAAGTTTGGATATGTGAGGTTGAGACATCCAAGTGGTATTTGTCTCTATTACTATTGTCTTAAATTTCCTGATGGTATTCTCTTACACTTTATAAATAATTTGTAAATCTGATTTTATATCTGAAACTTAAACACAAGAGTTTATAGATAGCATTTTTCTTTTTTTACAACTAAGGAAAAATATTCTACTTGTTAGAAAAGATGCCCACAAATTAGTATTATTCTTTTTTTTTTTAATATTTATTTATTTATTTATACAAGCACTGGGTACAGTCAGAAGCGCGGGAGGGTGAGAGAATTCACCAGAGCCAGAGCAGGGAGCAGAACAGACAGAAGAACCGAGGTACACTGCTGAGGGGAGCAGCGGGCACGGCAGAAGAGGTCTGCGCGCCATGTGGGCCCCGGATCGAACTGGCGCTGCAGAGGCTGTGGGCAGCTTTGCAGCCCAGCGCTCAACCGCTGCGCCACGGGGAAGGCCCAGTATTATTCTTTTAAGGAAAAGTAAGAAAAATAACTGAACCAGATTTAAACACTTGTTTTATCTTTCCACATATTTCTGTAGCCAGTGAGAATGATGAAGATTCTTTCTGAAATTCTTATTTCCACTTTGCTGTCTTTTAGCAAGGCACAGGATTGGGTTATTCTTAAACCTTTCTCTGCCTTTTGGTTGTGGTATACTAGTCTTTCCTCTTCTCTCCCACAATTCCTTCTCAAGCTCCTTCATTAAATATAGCCAGTAAGGTCAGATTGCAGACATCTGTATGCTTCCCCAAGGTATATTAACAGTAAGCACAAATTGAAATATTCTTTGTTGAACTGTAACAGGGTGGTCCCCAGGAAAGGGGGAGGTTCCCTGCCCCACCCAAGGGAGGGTGGAGCTGAGCAGGAAGAGGAGAAGCTGCAGAAGAGACTGAGGAAGGAAGCAGGATGGAGCCAGGAGACCTGGAGGAGGCGCATGGAGCCTAGAGACACGTGAAGAAACTGCGCTTGTCTTTTGGTCGTAGACTGGGTGACACAGATGTGGGTGAGACCCATGGGGAGGTGACCATGGCAGCTTTTATCTTGATGTTGATTTTGCTCTTTTCCTTCCGGGCTTGTCTGGTTATTTTTGACCCTTTGCTGTGGGTCCCCACTGGAAGATGCTTTAGACTTGTGGCAGGCTTTGGGGCTTTGCTCTGGGCCAATCCCATTTGGATGGACTTTTACCCACGAGGGGACGGGTAACTTTGGGTGCTTCATTTAGAAACTAGACTCTTTGCCTTACCTGTATTGTTTCCTAGTTTTATTAAAGTTCCTTCCCATTAAAGTCTCCTATGTTTTGTGTTGATGCGGCGGATGGCAGAACCCATTTAGAATAGGCAGGTTTGCGGGGCTTGGGCTGCCCCTCTCCCTGTCCTATAACAGAACTACACATACAGCCAAAGAAGCAAGAGCCCCTCACACATAAGTCATGAACTAATTAATCCCATTAAATATTGTCTTTTTTCTCTTTTTTTGATATCACATGTAACTAAAACTGATATGTAACACAATTTAGAATATTAGTACAATTTTTTATTTTACTTCAAGTTAACTCATGATCTAGATCTCTACATTCTAAACTTATGTTGTGTACTGAGAATAAGGATACTTGTAACTAGCCTGGAAAGCAATTTAGCAGTACATATCAACAGTCTAAAAAAGTTCCGACACAAGCATAACTAGAAACTGCTCTAACAAAACTAGAAATTGCTCTAACCAAGGGAACAATTTAGTTTACATTTTTTTTTTTTTATAGAGGCATGTTTTCTTTCTTTCTTTATTTGTTTGTTTGTTTGTTTGTTTATACATGCACTGGGTACAGTCAGAAGCGCAGGAGGGTGAGAGAATTCACCAGAGCCAGAGCAGGGAGCAGAGCAGGCAGAAGGACCGAAGTACACTGCTGAGGGGAGCAGCGGGCGGCAGGAGAGGTCTGCGCACCATGTGGGACCCTCCTCTGGTGGCCGGGGAGCAGCTGGGGATCGAACTGGGGCCGCAGAGGCGCGGGCAGCTTCGCAACCCCGCTCAACGGCTGCGCCACCGGGGAGGCCCTAGTTTACATTTTTATGTAGTCATTTCTTTTCTTCCCAGCTAATGAACATTAACAATGGCTAAATGTGTGCCAGAGAGTGATATTTATATACATTATTTCATTCAGTAATTTCAATAATCTTGAGGAAAAGAATAACATTATCTACAGATAAGGATGGAGTTATATTTCTTGCAAAATGTCCAAGCATTTGACACAACCTAATATCTGAATCTAGAAAGCAATTATATTTTATATATATATATCTCACAGCAAATGAACCTACTTCATCTCTACCTACTATCCCTGGCAAAAGAGAATTCCTGAATGGGCATGGAACAGATGACACCATTCAGTAGGTGAAAGTCTTTAGAGATCATCTAATCAAACGACCTTTTTTTCCCCTCCCATTTTTCCCCTCCTTCCCCAAAGCCACCTTATTTTTAAGACAGGAAATTATAAGTCCACAGAGGTAAGTTAACTCACTTAGTAACACTCAATGACAAATCTGGGTTTGGAAACTGATCTCCTAATTAAAAATTCTTCAGATTACATAAAACTACTGACTATCAGAGGTAGGGCAACAGCAGTATGTGGAAAGAACAAAATAAACATTTTAAAAGTCTGAAAGATAAAAGAAAAATAACTGAGCAAAGACATATAATAAAATCACAATTCAAGTGAAGGAGACAAAAGAAACTTACCAAATTTAACTTTTTCTTGGCTCTTCGTTGTTAGAATGTCTACAATTGTATGCCGCATCTCTTCAATAGGCTTAATTTTTTTTAATGAAGAAAGCAGACCAGGTAAGTTTTATGTTCTCAAACATTAACTAGGCTGTCCAAGTTGAAAATACTAAAACAGTGAAATATGAAAACCAAAATTTCCTATTTTAAAATCAGGCAGTGGTTCTTAGGCCATGCTTCTCTGCTGCACCTCCCCCTGCAGTGACCTTTAGGGCTAACCGGCCCTAGGTCCGGCTGGGCAACCAGCGCGCAGGGGAAGAACAGCAAAACCCTACCTGCTGCACCTCCCCCCGCAGTGATCTTTAGGAATGGCTTTCGCCACGGTCCCTAGATCCGGCTGGGCAACCAGCGCGCCAGGGGAGAACACCCTGAAGCAGAGGAAGTGCAGCTGAAAGTTCCCTGAAAAGGCAGAAGCTTATCAAAAGATAACAACCACCAAGAACCACTACAAGAATGCTAAAAATCTTATCCCGTCTTTCTAGAACTACAACTTTAATCCCTTATTTGTCTTTCTAAACTTCCTTCCTTCTTCTATAATGGTCATTGCTTGTTATGTAGATCACCTCCCTGATGATGATTGACTGAGCCCATGAGCAAGCTAATTTCATTGATATTCATTCCTGTGCTTTTGGAAAACATATATATACTGGTCACAAACTTAAAGAAAATTACACTCAGATTTTCACTCTTGAAGTGTGTCTGTTTGTCATTTCTTTCCCCGACGCCCTGACCACCCTGCACGCTTCTCTCAACCCTGAGGTGGCCTCATCGTCTACTGTCTACTGCTGTGCTGGTCCGCGGCACTTCTCAGAACACCTAGGGTGTTCAAGTTGAAAAACTACTCTTTTCCAATTTATAGAATAAAAATGAACTTAAGGGATAAAATTTTGATTTTAAATTTCTCCCCATAAATTTTTAAGTTTTGGGTAATGATTACCGCTTACCTGATATGCACTAAATAAATGAACAAGCATCAAAACAATGTTATTAATATTTATTAAAGAAATTAGAGCCTGTTAAATAAGTTTACGTTTGATGTTTATATTGTTTTCTCCTTTTCTCTTATATTCAAGTTTATGATATTTTTGTTTCACATGCATCCATTAACAGTGTAGACTGATCAGCCTAATGTATATTGTATGCAAGATATTATAAACATTTCCTATTTTCCATGATCTACAGTGACTACTAATGCAATATATTCAAGGTATTATATAAAAGGGAAAGAAAGCTCTGGCTCATAGTCTTAATTCAGAATTCAGTCCTGACCTACTCATTGAACTTGGTTTCATTTTGGGGGGACTAATTTTGATTTTTGTTTTCTAGTTTCTGCTCTGGTGTCACATCTTTCTCCTTACACTATTGCATTCTATGTGAAGCCTTGCATCCAGTTATGATTCCTAACTATACTGCCATAAACTGTCTTACGTAAAGTTTCCTCTGGTTCAGTGTAGTAGAACCTAATATTCTGTTCCATGTGGAAGTCTGTGAAATTAGTATCCTTCAGCAAAGTGTTTTATACCTAACAGTTTTATATCTAGCTGCTGAATATTTGATTTTTTTTCTTTTTCTTTTCTTTTTTTTTTTTTAAGGGGAGAGCGCGAACACAATCCCCCACTACCACAAATTATGCAGTCGAGTTTCCCACATTTGGGGAAATCGTAGTGGTCAGCACATCCGGAGTGCAGTGCATAAGCCTCGCCCTGGGAAAACCACCTTTGTGATCATGGTATCTCCCCTGCCAGGTAAGTATTGAATATTTGATTTTTGATTCAAGTGAAGAGTCAAACAACATTTATTGGCTTTGCTGAGACTAAAGTGAATATATACTTCTTAAAGAAAATCTTAAAAACAATTTGTAAAAACTCTGTAAATAATCTCTAAATGTGTTCTTGCAAAACTTTATAAAAGGGAAATATACTTTAGGGACACTTACCCATAAATATAAAAAAACAACTAAGCTAAAAAAACCTCAAGATACAATTTTTACTATACCAGGGACTTTCGTTGCAACAGACTAGGAAGAGGTGAGAGGACTTCACTACAGTGCTAACAATGTTAGAGAAACTAGTTCTTGGCATTTCTATGCATGAGTAGGAAAAACAAATAGCATATAAATGTGAGTACATTAAGGCTCACTCCTAAAGTGAAAGTTATTTCACAAAGTCATCAGAACTTGCTAACCAGTTAACTTAATTCCATTTGCTCTGTATTCAACAAATTTTAATATTAAAAATTCAGTTTCCTGGAATTCTTAACCAGGAAATGCACACAATGGCAAGTGTACTAAAATAGTTTCATTAAGTGTATATTTCATCTTATGTCCATATGCTTACATCCGATTACCCGTAGTACATGAACAAATTTTAGAATGCTGGGAAACAGCTTTTATAATCCAACACTTAGTCTTTAAATGATCATTACAATCACATACATGGCCACAATTCTATCAAGTTAAACTGTCAATGTGTTCCAAGATAATTCTGAATCATTTACACTTAAAACATTTAATAAAAAATTCCATGAGTCTTCATCTCACCTGAGCTCCTGCCAGAATGGCCTTCTCATAGATTGCAATAACATTTTCAATAGGACTTGTGATTGGTTCAATACGTGCAAGGCATATCCAATACTTAACAAGTTTCTTGGCATCTGGAATATTTTTAATGAGGTCGTTCAGTATGACCAGTATTTCTTCGTTTGGGCATCCCTAAAATAGCAAGAAATAAAGTGAGTGATACCTTTCAGCCTATAAACTATATTAATAAATAAGCTTACTATAATCAAGATCAATGATAAGACTGGATAGAAAACTATTCATAAAAATATATTCACTATTATCCTCTGGATTACTCCATTATTCTGCATGGCTAGCAAGAAGTGAATCAATCAGGAGTATAAGAGAGCAAAAAATGAAATTGTAGATGAGATATGACTCAAACATGACTAGTACTCTATTTGGTCTCAAAGTTTACCTTCTTATATTTTGTGGAAATAATCCACTTGTTAACATTTTATTTAGAATTTTTATACCTACCAAATGTTTTTGTGAGAACTGCTTGCAGGTTATTTATTTTGTCTTTGTCAGGTTTTGACATAAGGGATCTGTTAAGTAAGAGCTACATATAGTTAAACAGTAAGGAAGGAAAATTCTATAATATCAACAAAAACCTCAGTAAAGCAAAAATAAGACTAGCATCAAGAGTTTCCCGAACTGCAATTTTTACTGGTTTTCAGAACAACAAAAAGAGGCTTATGAAGACTACAGCAGGGTTTGAAATCAAATCTATTTATTTAAATCTGAGATGCTAGTGGGTGACCAAAGCAAAATTAAAGAGCAATCAGGGAATAAAGAAAAATTCTGGAGTTGATTATTATACTCCATAGGATTTTGGTCCAAATATTGAAACTGTACAATAAATTCAAGAACATGATTACATCAGTTTACATTAATGGGGTTCTGTCTGCAAATATTTTAGCTTTTTAATTTAATCTGTGATAACTACTACTTACTAATTTGTGTTGTTATAAGTGACAAAAATTATAAATATACTGAAAGAATGTAAACAGAAGTTTCATAGGTAAAAAATCCCACTCTCCTGCTACTGTATATTGATATCTGAGAGGAATACACTATTTACATCTGGAGTAAAAATTTCTAATTAAGCTTTAAAAAAAAAAAATATTTATTTATTTATACAAGCACTGGGTATAGTCAGAAGCGCAGGAGGGTGAGAGAATTCACCAGAGCCAGAGCAGGGAACGGAACAGGCAGACCAACGAGGTACACTGCAGAGGGGAGCAGCGGGTGGCAGGAGAGGTCTGCGTACCATGTGGGACCCTTGCCCAGCGGCCGGGGATCGAACCAGTGCTGCAGAGGCTGCTTGCAGCTTCGCAACCCAGCACTCAACCACTGCGCAACCCAATACTCAACCGCTGCGCCACCAGGGGAGGCCCCTCTAATTAAGCCTTTGATATAGTTATACAAACTCAATGAAAATGCAATCCATTAAAGGTTAGAGAGGAATAATCTCACAATTAACATTAAATCAACATAATACCACCAATTGCTGGTCAAAAAGATTGACAGTATACTTTAATAAAATGTTTATGAAGGTAATTTGTAAACTATAAAATGCCATATAAATATAAAATAAAGATACCTCATTAATCAGGTTCAGGCATTCAGAAAATGTCTTGTTTACTTTTTCAGTAAATAATCTTTGTTCATCTTCCTCAGCCATGGTAGTCCAAAAGGATCCAACTGGTTTTTCATTTTGTGCTTCAGGCTCAGGCTGCGTAACTACTGAGGTTGGAGGCCTTTTTAGCATTCTTCCTTTGCCAGCCTTCCACTCATTCAGACGAGCTCTACAGTTAGAAGCAGTACATAAGCATTACTGTGACACTGATGATACACTGTCAAATATAAGTTAAAAAGTATTTCAGGTCTTTTAAGAGTAGTTCCATGTCAGTGGTACACGCATAGATCATAAGTTTAAAAAAAAATAGAATATATCAATATTATATGCTCAAAAACCCCAAGAATGTAGTTTTAAACAGAAAGGCTTAAAAATATTTCCCTATTTCATTAAGTATTTTAACTTAGATTATACAAAATAACCAAATGAAACATAAGCACAATGACTAAAGTCATACTATTATTGTCAGCACATGCTGGAGAATCCATATACAAAAAAATTCTAATACATTCTAAGAAATTATAAATCAAATTTACAAATTAAAAATTTGTAGATTTTTGGTGGCGATGGCAATGTAGCATATATAAATGTTGAACTATAATGCTATAATGTAAGTCTGTATATAGTTATTTATTTTTTTTTTTTTATAGAGGCATGCTTTATTTATTTGTTTGCTGGTTTGTTTGTTTTTGTTTTTGTTTATACATGCACTGGGTACAGTCAGAAGCGCGGGAGGGTGAGAGAATTCACCAGAGCCAGAGCGGGAAGCAGAGCAGGCAGAAGGACCGAAGCACACTGCTGAGAGGAGCAGCGGGTGGCAGGAGATGTCTGCGCGCCATGTGGGACCCTCCTCTGGTGGCCGGGGAGCAGCCGGGGATCGTACCGGCGCCGCAGAGGCCGCGCGCAGCTTCGCAACCCAGCGCTCAACCGCTGCGCCACCGGGGAGGCCCTAAGTCTGTATATAGTTATAAACCAGTTACATCAAAAAAAATTTAAGCTAATAAAATTCCATGTACTTACTTTCTCTCTTCTGCAGTTTCTTTGGGCCGAGTTGGTCTACTGTCAACAGTTGCTTTTGCTATAGTATGTCTGTGCTGATCAATGGTTTTTGAATTTTCTATCAGTTTGGTTTTATAAGATGAAGCAGGCCAGACTACAGTTTCAGATGTCACACTTTTTGATAGTGCTTTATTTCTCTTTATATCCTGAGAAGAACTGACTTTGAAACTAGATACAACTGTATTTAATTGTGGTAATTCTTTGTCATGAGGCCCTTTCCGAACTGTGACATTGGCAGAGGTTCTACTGATGCTCTGTTTCATGATGCCTTGTTTCGTGGTGTCTTGCTTGTCCTGGTGACTTCTAATAGAAGGTCGCACAAGTTGTTTGTTCTGAGATGTAGAGCTCACAAATTTAGTTGTAGTGGTCATGTTTAAAGGTCGATCACTTCTCACTATTACACTGCTAGTGTTTACAGGCAGAGGCTTTGTAACTTTAGTGACAGTAGCTGAAAGTTTCCTTGTTGTAGAACTCTCATCTTTGATTTGTAGAGGTTTTCTAAATGAATTAACCTTAGACTGAACAATCTGGCCACGATAAGATCCAAGAACAGGTTTCTTGGGCATGGTAGCATCTTGCTTTGGTTTTTCTGTAGGTGTTTGTTTCTTTTTACTATTGTTTTTAAGGTGAAATGCTTGGCTTAACGTCATTGGTTGACTTTGGGGGTCATCTTTAATTGACAACTGCAGAGCTTGATTATTATCCTCCAAAGTATGTGAATCAATCGATATATTTGAATTGGTTAATTCACTAGAAGATTTTAAAGGCATACAATTTTTTTCCACCCTTATATTATGTTTGCTCCCTGTAGGTCTACCAGCGTTTTCTTTATCAGCCTAAAAGAATTATTTAAGACAAATCACTACTTCAGAACTCAATTTATTTTTTTAAAGATTTATTTATTTATGCATACAAGAGCTGGGGTACAGGCTAGAGATAAAGAGGGGGTAAGAGGATCCACCAGAGACAGAGTGGGGGAACAGAACAGGCAGACTAACCAAAATACACTGCTGAGGGGAGGAGCGGGCGAGACAGGACAAGTCTGCCTTGCCATGTGGGTTTCTCCCTGGCTGGCCCAGGGATAGAACTTGTGCTGCAGAGACTGCAAGTCACTTCATAGTGCAGTGCTTAACCCCTTGTGCCACCAGGGGGTCCTGAGAACTCATTTTTTTTTTTTTTTCAGAAGAGTTTAGGAAAGGGAAAAGAGGAAAAGGAAAAGTTTATGGGGGCTATGTCCATAGCTTACCATTTTGGTATGAAGTTTCAGAACTTTTGTTTGTTCTTGAACCTGGGTCTCAGATGTCATCACTCTCTGGTCTTTCCTAATTAAAAATAACAAATTAACCCTGTACCAAGGAGGTTTCCTTTCTTGGAGGAGGGATGGAAGGATGTTAACAATTAACCGAATTCTTTAATTTAAATCGAGGCAGCAACTGAACTGAGACTTATATTGTGATTTAATAATATGAACAAGATGGCAAGAAAGTTAAAGCTATTTCCTTCAATCTTAACACGCTACCCATAAATATTTTAAAAACAATTAAGAATCTATTCTAAATCATTTTTTCTAGTCAAACAAATCTTTAAAAAAATAAACAAACCAAAACCTTTTTAAAGTAACACTTTGCTCAGTTTTAAGTATAGGAACAAGTATTTAACTTTAAAAATTTTTTAACTAGCTCTCTCAAAAGAAATCCTAAATTTACCACACATACACTCACAGCTTAATGTACTAAGAATATGAACTGGACAACCAAGACCGCATGGAAGGATAACCGATACTGCGTGGAACTGGGAAAGGGCTGCCCCCACAGCCAGAGGTGAGCTGAAAAGCCCCCACCAGTCGGAGCCCAGAGGGGAATCCAGCCACCGCCAGGGCAGACCTCAGGCACAGGGACTTCTGACTTGCCATTTTACAATAGGGATTTTTGCCACCAGAACCCACCAAGACTGTGTGGAATTGGGAAAGGGTTGCCCCCACAACCAGAGGTGAGCTGAAGGTCCCCACAAGCCAGGCCCTGCCTGGCAGGGAGTCAGAGCCCAGAGAGGGATCCAGCAATTTGGAGACTAGTGGGTGATCCAGCCACCCAACCTCCAGGGCAGCCTGTGGGACCTCAAGACACACCTTTGGAATTAAACAAATACAGAAAGAGGAGATATTCTGTGACCGCGACCATTAACATATTCATAGTACCACTGCCATACTGGACTTCTGGCATAACAGTATTTGACTAGATTGGACCACCAGTTTCCTACATCCCAGAAAGAGTATACCAAAAAGATGCCAGCCAGTACCAGCAACACAGTGTCCCAACGCATAGGACAAATTAGAAAACAAGCAGCAGGGAGAAGAAAAACTACAAGCAACCAAGCAAGTCCTCAGGGAAAAAACACACCACAAAAAGAAAAATCAACCACCAGAATGCAACAACAGTGACTTGGAAGAACTTCTGAGCCTTCCAGAAAGAGAATTTAAAATTGCCATGATTAAAAAACTGACAGAAGTCATTAAGGAAAACAATAATAAGGGAAAAAATAATCAACGATCAGAAGAATGAAATTGAGTCCCTAAGAGGGAAGTGAAAAAAATGCAGGAGATCAAAGGATTAATGGAGGAGCTAAAGAACTCTGCGGAAAAACAGTGAAAGCAGAATAGATGAAATGGAAGAATGAATAAGACACAGAAATAAAAAGAACCAAAACCAAAAAGGAAAGAGAAGTACAAATGAAAAAGAATGAAGAAAGACTTCGGGAACTATCTGACTCCATGAGGAAAGGAAATATGAGTTATAGGAATCCTGGAAGGAGAGGCAAGAGATATAGGAACAGAGAAAATATTCAAGGAAATAACTGAAGAGAACTTCCCAAACATGAAGAAGGAACTGAAAATAAACATACAAAAAGCAAGAAGAAAACCAAACTTCCATGATGAAAGGAAATATACAGCAAGACACATAATAGTAAAGCTCCCAAGAATCCAAGACAAGGAAAAAATAATGAAGCTGACAAGAGGGAAGAAACAGATAACATAAAGGAAAACCAATCAGGCTGACATCAAGCTTCTCCAAAGAAACACTACGGGTAAGGAGAGAGTGGAGGAACATAGTCAACAGCCTCCAAGAAAACAGATGCCAACCAAGAATACTCTATCCCGCAAAGCTTTCCTTCCTCTATGAAGAAAGAGTAAGGACCTTCCCAGACAAACAGAAACTCTGGAATTTCTGTATGACTAAACCCCCATTCCAAAAAATACTACAAGGAGTCCTAAAGCCAGAACCAACAGAGGGATGAATAAGAATGAAACAAAACAAAAAAAGAAAGAAAAATCTAGGGCCTCCCCTGGTGGCACAGCGGTTGAGCGCTGGGCTGCAAGGCTGCGCGCAGCCTCTGCAGCACCGGTTCATTCCCGGGCCACCGGTGTGGGTCCCACAAAATAAATAAATAAATAAGTAAATAAATAAATAAATAAATAAACAAAACCAGGCAAATATAGATGCTAACATATCAATATTAACTCTAAATGTAAATGGACTAAATTCTTCAATAAAAAGACACAGAATTGCAGGCTGGATCAAGAAACAAGACCCAACCTTTTGCTGTCTCCAGGAAACTCACTTAACTACAAAAGATAAAAATAGACTGAAAGTAAAATGATGGAAAACAATCCTACAAGCAAATGGACCAAAAAAGAAGGCACGAACAACTATACTTACATCAGATAAAACAGACTTCAAACTCAAAAGGTAAAAAGAGACCCAGACGGTCACTACATTATGATCAAGGGGACAATACTTCAAGAAGAAATAACACTCTTAACATATACTCACCAAATGAAGCACCACCAAAATATATCAGACAACTATTATCATCTCTGAAAAAAGACATCAGAGAAAACACATATGTAGTGGGGGACTTCAACACACCACTATCAACAATGGATAGATCAATGAGACAAAAAAATAATGACATTAAAGCTCTAAATAAGGATCTAGACCTCATGGACTTAACAGACATGTAGAACACTAAATCCAAAAAAACCTGAGTACACATTTTTCTCAAGCGCACATAGATCATTCTCCAGGATCGATCACATACTGGGACACAAGACAAAAATCAACAGATATACCAAGACTGAAATCATACCAACCATCTTCTCTGACCTTGAAGGCATCAAACTAGAAATATATCGTAATAAGAAGGCAAGGAACCCTCCCTGCTCATGGAGATTGAAATCCACACTACCGGAAGACCACTGGAGTAATGAGATCAAAGAAGAAATTAAAAAATACTTTGAGTTGAATGACAAAGAGGACACCAATTTCCTAAATGTATGGGACGCAGCAAAAGCAGTAATAAGAGGAAAATATATAGCAATATAGGCTCACATCAAGAAATAAGAAAGAACTCAAAGAAACAACCTAATCTCACATCTCAAAGAACTAGAAAAAGAACAACAAAAACCTGAAACCAGTAGAAGGAAATAATAAAAATTAAAGCAGAAATAAATGAAATAGAAACTAAAAAAAAAAAAATCCAAAAGATCAATAAAACCAAAAGTTGGTTCTTCGAAAAAATAAACAAACCCCTAGCCAAGTTCACAAAGGAAAAACAGGAAAAAGCACAAATAAATAGTATCACAAATGAAAGAGGAGAAATCATAACAGACACAGCAGAAATCAAAAGAATAATCAGAAACTACTATGAACAGTTATATGCAAAAAAGCTCAATAATCTAGAACAGAAGGACAAATTCCTACAACTTTACAATCACCCAAAGCTAGATAAAGAAGAAATAGAGGGCCTCCCTGGTGGCGCAGCAGTTGAGCGCTGGTTGCGAAGCTGCCCACAGCCTCTGCAGTGTCGGTTCAATCCCCGGCTGCTCCCCGGTCACAGGAGGAGGGTCCCACATGGCCGGCAGACCTCTCCTGCTACTCATTGCTCCCGTCAGCAGTGTACTTCGGTCCTTCTGCCTGCTCTGCTCCCGCTCTGGCGAATTCTCTCACTCTCCCGCGCTTCTGACTGTACCCAGTGCTTGCATAAATAAATAAATAAATAAAAATCTAAAAAAAAAAAAAAAAAGAAATAGAACACCTAAACAGACCAATTACAAGCAGTGAAATTGAAATGATCATCAAAACCCTTCCCCAAACCAAAAGCCCAGGACCAGATGGATTTACAAATGAATTCTACCAAACATTCAGAGACGAATTAGTGCTTCATAAACTCTTTCAAAAAACTGAGAAGGAAAGAATATACCAAACACGTTCTATGAAGCCAACATTACACTAATACCAAAACTGAACAAGGACAACTCAAAAAAAGAAAACTACAGGCCAATCTCTCTAATGAAGATTGATGCAAAAATCCTCAATAAAATTTTAGCTATCAGAATCCAACCATGTATCCATAAGATAATTCACCACGACCAAGAAGGATTTATTCCGGGGACAAAAGGATGGTTCAACATCCGAAAATCAATCAATGTAATCCAATACATCAACAAAAATAAATAGAAAAACCATATGATAATATCAATAGATGCTGAGAAAGCGTTCAACAAAGTACAACACCCATTTATGATAAAGGCCCTTGAAATTCTCGGGATACAAGGAACAAACTTCAACATCCTAAAGGCCATATATGACAAGCCCATAGCCAATATCATTCTCAATGGTGAAAAGTTGAAAGCATTTCCATTAAGGTCTGGAACAAGACAAGGATGTCCACTCTCACCACTGCTTTTCAATATAATACTGGAAGGCCTAGCCAGAGCAATAAGACAAGAGAAAGACATACAAGGAATCCAAATAGGGAAGCAAGAAGTCAAACTATCACTATTTGCAGATGATATGATAATATACATAGAGAACCCCAAAAACTCCACAGTAAAACTAATCAAACTAATCAACCAGCACAGTAAAGTAGCAGGATACAAAATCAACACACAAAAATCAGTAGCCTTGCTATACACAAACAATAAATCTGAAGAAGAAATCAAGAAAACCATCCCTTTTATTATTGAAACAAAAAAAATCAAAAACTCGGAAAGAAAACTATAAAATACTGCTAAAAGAAATAGATGAAGACACAAAGAAATGGACAGACATCCCCTGCTCATGGATCGGAAGAATAAACATTATCAAAATGGCCATCCTACCAAAAACAATTTACAGATTCAATGCTATTCCAATAAAAATTTCAATGACATTCTTCAAAGAAATAGAACAAATATTGATGAAATTCATATGGAGCCACCAAAAACCCCAAATTGGCCAAAGCTCTCCTAGAGAAAAAAAAAAAAAAAAAAGGGAATGGAGGCATCACACTCCCACACTTCAAACTATACTACAAAGCCATAATAATCAAAACTGCCTGGTATTGGAACAAGAACAGACACACAGACCAAAGGAATTGAATAGAAAATCCAGAAATAAACCCAGATTTATGGTCAACTAATCGTTGACAAAGAAGCAAAGAATATGCACTGGAACAAAGAAATTTTGTTCAATAAATGGTGCTGGGAAAACTGGGTTGCTACATGCAAAAGAATGAAGCTTGACTACCACCTCACACCATGCACAAAAACGAACTCAAAATGGATTAAAAAACTAGACATAAGACCTGAAACCATAAAATATATAAAAGGAAATATAGGCGAAACACTACATGACATACGCCTCAGTAATATCTTTAAAGACTCATCACCCAAAGCAGTGATAGGGAAGGCAAAGATAAATAGATGGGACTACATCAAATTAAAGAGCTTCTGCATAGCAAAAGAGATAGTAACCAAAACAAACAGACACCCCATTGATTGGGAGAAAATTTTTGCACACAACACTAATGATAAAGGACTGATCACAAAAATCTACAAAGAGCTGAAGAGTCTCAATGAAAACAAAGTAAATAATTCAGTCAAAAAATGGCAGAAGAGCTAAAAAGGAACGTCTCCAAAGAGGAAATGCAAATGGCCAGCAGGCATATGAAAAAATATTCAGCATCACTGTAATCAGGGAAATGCAAATCAAAAGTACAATGAGATACCATCTTACACCAGTGAGAATGGCACATATTAAAAAAACTAGCAACAACAAATGTTGGTGAGGATGAAATGTTGGCAGAGAAATGTTGGCGGAGAAAAAGGAACTCTCCTGCACTGCAGGTGGGAGGGCAAACTGGCCCAACCACTGTGGAAAGTGTGTGGAGATTCCTCAACCTGCTAAAGATGGAGCTTCCATATGATCCAGCAATTCCACTCCTAGGTATTTACCCAAAGGACACAGAATTAATTAATTAATTAATTAATTCTAAAGGGCACCTGCATTCCTATGTTTATAGCAGCACTATTTACAGCAGCTAAGCTATGGAAACAACCCAAATGCCCAAAAATAGATGACTGGATCAAGAAGACATAGTACATATACACAATGGAATAATACTCAGCAATCAAAAAAGATAAACTCATGCAATTTGCATTAACATGGATGGAGCTGGAAGGGATCATGCTCAGCAAAATAAGCCAGAAACCTAAATAAGGGACCAGGAAAAAGACTAATAGGGTAAAAATCAAAATCAACAAGCAACTACAAACCAGAGACACACACACACACACACACACACACACACACACACACACACGGGGGGGGGGGGGCGGTTTGTAGGAGGGATTAGGGTCAAAATAAGGAGGGTGGTGGGAATTGTATGGGGACTATAACCAAGATGAAAATGCATACATTGTGCAAAAGTGAAAACTGATGCAAAAAAGTATATAAAATAAAGAATATGAACTTTAGTTTCTAGATAGCAATGCATTTAGAATACATGTCCAAAGAAAGTACTTCCTCTAGTATTTGACCTAAATGCTTTTACATTACAGACATAGATGGGTTACTACAGGATGTGAGGCTTTCTTAACCAGTAAACAGATTGATTTTCGCATACTATGAGGAGATGAAAAGTTGACATGCCTGATCCTAAGATAGGTTCCAAGTTCAGAGATGTTAGGAGAAAAAAGTCTACATTTCAGAGATAACAAAATTTTGGTTACATTGCCTTTCATATATATTTGCTCATATGATGAGAAGGGGCACTTTGCCCTAGCTTACACTATGCATTTTGAATGATGAAAGAGGGCCCACTAAACAAGGTACCTTGATAGTTATCTTCTGAGTATATGTGCTTTCTCTTCCTCCCAGGTATTGCCAGTAGCTCAGAGCATAGCAGTCTCCCCAGTTTAAGCTCCTATATTTACCACCTGGGTGGTAGATACTCCTCACAGGATTCCCTGGCCTGTATGGTGTGGGTTGAGGCAATCAAAATGCAGTTTGCTCCCAAGATGATATCTTAACTTATCAGGCACTCTATTGGGCCTACAGTATACTGTGATGTTATCTCACTGACAAAATTAAAAGCAATCTTAATAAGAATTAGCTTATCTTTCCTCCACCAAATACTACTAGCCTAATGGCCTCTATTTTCATGCATTCTGCCTTCTCTCCTGTCTAATGAAAGCTGGCATTATGCTGACTGGGAGTCAAACTCTGAAAGGTCCATGCAGGAAGCCAGAATGCAGGAGCCAACCAGGAAGCCCACCTGGGGGGCAGGAATGCGGATACCTGCCTGGAGGACTCAGACAATGAGCCTCCCCCCTCCCACTAAGAGTCTCATCTCAGACAAAGAACCTCTACCTGCCCAACAAACTTTTCCCGCCGTACGAGCCCAACTACCCACCTGACCTCTCCTCGCCCTATAAAACCCTGCTTCCCCCTAACAACGTGCGCGGCTTCACTGACCCCCACCTTGGGTCTGTGAGGTCCGCCTGGGGCACAATAAACTTTTCCTCCCTTTGAGAAATGTAGCCTGGCTCTCCTTGTCTTTACCGCGCCGAACCTTTCACTCTCTATCTGTAGTCTCCCTTTTTCCTACTCAGGGAGGTTGTTCCTATGATTATGTGCTCATCCTCCTGTATTATGATGTTATGCAATATATACTATATATTAATAGATATTTATACATACATTAGGCAGACTAATATAGTATACACTATATGTAATACTACTACAATATATACCAACATAAATTATACACTATAATATAAACTATAATATAGTATAGTATAACTCTCCCTCTAGCCCGTGATTAAAGGACAACTCTGATACATTTTCACAGAATTGAAATGAAATAAATTTAACCCCACCTGGATAATAGCTGATTGTCCTGTTTGTACGCAAAAAAAGTTTTTCTTTTTAACAGCTGTTCCTTGAGTTTTTGTCTTCTTTGCTCTAAATAACAAAAGGGCAACAAGCCAAACATTAGTTAAAACGTATCAAATAAACATTGCTTAAAGATTTTACTTCGAAAAACGAACTACTTGACATATCTCGCATATGAAAAAAATTACCATGAGAGGTACCCACAACCACTCAGCATAAGAAACACACTCATCACCTGCAAATGAAAAAGGGGATAATACCGTCTTCAACAGGCGGCCACTGAACATCAAACTTCAAGAAACTACAGTAAACGGTACAGAGGAGACACTAGACTCCAAGTTCTCTCTCATGTACCAGAACTGGATTGAGAATTTTTTTCCTTTAGCTTTTCCATGTGAAGGACAAAGAAACAGCAATCTTCCTTCTGAAGACCTAGCCAGCTCTCGATGTCCATGAAGTCGAAGGCGCGACGATCGGGGCATCAGCACCACCCGCGCCCGCCGAACCCGCCGCCGACGCCCGCGGGGAACGTTCTGCGCAGGCGCAGTGGGCTCCCGGCAGGGAGGGGCCCCGCCCCCCGCGCAGCCCCGCAAGCGCCGCACTCCGAACGGACTCCGCCCGTGGGCCCGTCCACGCCGCCAGGGGCCACGCCCGGCCAGCCGCGACCGGAGGCGAGGCGCTCCTCCACACACCCACGCAGAGCGGGCACCACTCGGCTCGCCAAGGCCGCGGCCGCGGGCGCCGGGCCGCCGTTTGGGGCGCCCCCGCGCGGGCGGGGCGGCAGCTGGCCCCGCAGCCCCGGCTCCGACCGCCGAGCCCGGGCTCTCCGCACGCGCGGCCGTCCTCAGGCCCACGACCGCCCGCTGGCCCGCGGCCCTCACCTCTGAAGGCAGACTCGCCCCGCTGACTCGGGGGCAGCTGCAGGTCCCGGGGCACGGTCGGGGCGCTCATCACGCGCGGGGTCGGAAGCAGCGTCTCGGCACTCGGGGAGCCCGGGCCGCCGCGCTCTGACGCGGGGCGGGGACACGGCTTTAGACGGCGCGGCGGCCGCCGCCGCCCATTGGTGCACGGCGTGAATTGAACGGGCCAATGGGCGTGGAGGGGCGGGGCCTCGGCTGCGGTTACCGGGCCGGGCTTGAATGCCGGGGCTCCGTGGGAGCCGAGTCTGATTTTTTAAACCTAAACAAGGTTTAAAAAAGTGCTGCGTCCAGCACTTGCAGTGGGAGGAGGTGCCGGCCGGCTAAATCCCTGCTCTGCAATAACGGAAGGGACTAGTCGTTAGACGCTACAGTCCATTGAGGAAGGCAAAAAGGAAAAGTGTTTGGCTGCACTTCTTTTTAGTTTTTTTAAAGATTTATTTTATTATTTTTATGCATACAAGAGCTGGGGTGCAGGCCAGAGGTGGGGGGCGGTTGAGAGAATTCACCAGAGACAGAGTGGGGAGCAGAACAGGCAGATCGACTGAAATGCACTGCTGAGGGGAGCAGCAGGCAAGTCAGGAGGGGTCTGTTGCGCCGTGTGGGTAGCTCCCTGACACTGGGAACTCCAAATCCCATCACCACCAAAGGGAAGGTGGCTGGGACCTGGGGGTGGGGTTAAGCAGCCAGGTTTGGTATAAAGCCAGACGTGTGGGCTTTGGAGAGGATCCCCCATTTTGACTCCCCGCCAGCTAGCAGCGTTAGGCCAGCTCTGAGAGTGCCTTTGGGTTTCCAGGTCGGTGGATCGGGTAGGATGCATTAAAGACTTTCCCTATTTTCTCCCTGAGTTGTACATTTCCTTAATTCCCTTTCCCTTGTAAATAAAACCTTTTATTAACCTTTTTGTGTGTGCCCGTAGTGGAGTATTAATACGTCCCTTTTAAGCGCACGGGTGAGGACCCACAGCCAGGCAACCCGTTTTATATTGGGGGTTGCCCCATAACAACGTGAGGGACTCCGAAGTTATTTGTCCACATTGCCCAGCTGGCAAAGGGGAAGTGAAGTGAGGGTATACTTTTCTTTGTACTACCCAATTATCAGATGTAAAAAAAGGGACATGAGGATGAGAAAAGGTTACAATTAGGATAAATTTGCCTATAATTTTGTGATGATAAAATACCTCTTGTTGTAACCATCTCATGTGTCTGTATAAGGGTGCTGCCATAATCTTTCAGTTCTAATTTGAAAATAATTGCCTTCATTAAATCCACAGACCCCAATCCACAAGATAAAAAGAAAGAAATCAGAGCTGCAAGGTTTAGGGGGTGGGAATGGGGTTGATGGAGGGAGTGCTGAAGGCTGCGCCTGTCTGGTTTTAAGCACTTGATTCATTGTGTTTCTCCACTTAGCTCACTACAGTAAGGCTGGACTGGATGTTTCAGTCAGGTTTTAAGTAGGTCACAAATGAGACAGTGAGATTTCTATCTTCCCTGCCTAGGCTGACAGCCTTCACAGCTGGCATTCACCGGTGGTGAGTTTGTTTACAGGACAGGGAGAGGGGCACCCCAGAACCCCCAAACCTGCCCATTCTACATAGGTTATGCCATCCACTGTATCAAGATAAAACATACTCTAGTGCGTAAGACCTTTAATGGAAAGGAACTTTAATACAATTAGTGTGCAACAAAAGAATGACAAAGAATAAAGTTTTCAAATCAAACACTCAGAAGTTACCCATCCCTCGTGGGTAAATGCACAGCCAAACAGGGCTAGCCCAAAGCAGGGCTGCTGAGGCCTGGAAGCCTGGCACAGGTCTAAGGCACCTCCTGGTGGGGACCCATAGGAAAGGGGCAAAACAGGCCCAGCACCTCTGGGACAGAAGGAGCAAAATCAAAATCAAGATAAAAGCTGCCATTGTTAACCTGCCCACGGGTCTCTCACCCACATCTGCTTGAACCAGTCCAAGGCTGAGAAGCAAGAGCAATTTCTTCAAATGTTTCTCTGCTCCATGTGCCTCCTTCAGATCTCCTTCTTGTTCTCCATCCTTCCTCCTTCCTCCTTCCAGTCTCCTCTCCAGCTTCTCCTCTTCCCTGCTCAGCAATGCCCTTTCTTGGGTGGGGCAGGGGAACTGGAACCTCCACCTTTCCTGGGGACCAACCTGTTACAAGTTTTTCCTATTTTTTTCTTCAGGCAGAATCTTATAGTAATATCTTGCTAATGAGAAAGTTAGTTTAGAGTAGTCTGTAGATTTTTTCTGTAGATTTTTTTTCTTGATTTTCCCATTTTTAGTGTATGGTTAAGGCCAACCCTGGCAGAACCAGGACCTCACTATCCCTAAGACATCATTGCTGTCTATACTCCCATTACTATCAGTTATTTGCTAAAGTTTCATGAGGCAGGTTAAGTAATCAGGGATTCCCATTAAGAGATGAAGAAAAGTTTAACAAACTAGAACAATTAAAAAGTAATTCACAAATCTCCCAAGTATTATACTAACTTAAAGAAGTCAGCTGCAAAGGGTCACCATATGGTATTTCATTTATATGAAGTATTCAAATAAACAAGTCCATAGATATATAACACAGATTGGTGATAACACAGATTGGTGATTGCCAGGACAGGAGAAATGGGGGAGAGACCATTTCATAACTTTGCAGTGGTGGAAATGTTTTGAAGCTAGCTAGAGGTGGTGGTTCTACAAAGTTGTGAATGTATTGGTGTCACTGATCTGTTCTCTTTAAAATGGTTAATTTTAGGGCCTCCCCTGGTGGCTCAGCAGTTGAGCACTGGGCTGCAAAGCTGCCCGCAGCCTCTGCAGCACCGGTTCCATCCACGGCCACCGGCGAGGGTCCCACATGGCGCGCAGACCTCTCCTCTCTCGTCCGTTGCTCCCCTCAGCAGTGTACTTCATCAGTCTGCCTGTTCTCCCCGCTCTGGCTCTGGTGAATTTTCTCACCCTCCTGCGCTTCTGACTGTACCCAGTACTTGTATAAATAAATCTTTAAAAAAAATAAAATGGTTAATTTTATGTTCTGTTAATTTCAGCCCACTATTTTAAAGTGGGTGTGGTAAAAAAAATGCCTAAGAATACCATGGAGATCTCAACAGGCTGGGATTGTGAGTAAAAAGACCTGCAAAACTGCTAGGTTTGCCACCATGACAATTCTTTCTAATCTCCACTCACTCACTCCAAAAAAATGGTATCTTTCTCAAGACATGTTTAAGATTATTATTGTCTCACAATTGCTGGAGGGAAGAGAGACTCTTCTAAAAGATCCAAAGAAAAGACCTCCCTTCAGAACATGTTTTTGCCAAAACACAAGCATGAAACTGCAGCCACCTGGTATATTAATAATCGAAATCAATTGTTCCTTCTTGGTCAGGTGAAGCAGGAAATCACCTGTGAGAAAACATGGGCTAACTCAAGGGACAGAGGATGATAAGGACAGGATGAGGGCACAGAGTCTAGGGAGGCTCAAGAAAGGAAATGGTCCACAGTGTTGGGAGTTGAAGAGATCTACTAGGACAGAGACCTACTAGAGAACATTGGATTCAGAAGCTGGGAGCTTCTGGCAAAGATGTTCTGTGGAAAAGGATAAACTATTGCTGAGTGAAATTGAAGAATAACTACCATAAACGAAGGGATGTAATATGCTTATGGATCAGAAGAAGCTATATTGTTAGAATGCCGATTCTCTCAGTCTCATCCCAGTCAAAATTGTGTAAATGACCAAACTGGATCTTTTGCTCTCACCCAGAAAGCCAAACTGAGCCACAAGAATGGCTTTGCACAATGGAGTTTATTATAAGAAGTGGCCTCCAAGGGAGTCAGCAATTGGGTTAGCACCCTAATGAAGCAAGGTCCATATGGCAGGGGTGCTATGACTATGTATGGAGGGAAGAAATGTGAGAAGGTAAGGGACACAAAGGGAGTGAGGGACTTGACAGGCTCAGAACCAGGGAAGGGTAGGCATCATGAGTTACAGTGTTTATCCTTCCCAGTACAGTGTTACTCTGGGCTAACAGTCCTTAAAGGCCGGCTGGCAGAGGCTTGTCCCTATGTACTGTTACCTCCAAAGGGGTACAGAAAATTCTATTGGAGAAGTAATACAATTAGTTCACAAAGTTCCAGGGAATGCAGATGGAAGTAAAGGAAATGAAAAAGTGTTTAGTATTTGATTCTGCTTAAGGGGTCCAGCTACAAAATGGCAGGGTTCCACCTACAATTCTAGAAGGTTTTTCTATAGAAATTAACAATTAGATTCTAATATTTAATGGAGTTGGAAGGATCTAGAGAGGCAAAACTATTTTGAAACAACAAAACTGAAACAACAAAAATACCTTATTTCAAGGTGTACTTTAAAGCCACAGTAAGTAATCAAGATCAGTGTGGTATTGGTGTAAGGAAAGACAAAGAAATAAAAAGACTACAATAAAGATTCCAGAAATATACGGAAGCCTCTACGGCCAGTTGATTTTCCACAAATTTTCTAAAACAACGCAACAGAGGAAAAAGACAATCTTTTCAGCAAATGGTGCTGGGACAACTGCTATCCACATAAAAATATTTATCATGACCCTTAC